ATTACATAGTTGATTGTACAATCTCCTTTAGATCTACCATCAGATTGTATGGTGAGCTTTACAGACCAAGACACACTTCTGTTTTTAGTGCTACAGCCCCGCTCTCCACACAGGCTGATTACTCAGCTCCTGCACACTCTGACAAATGAATGATTTATGCACCGTAAGGTAGAATGGCTATGTATTTAGTGAGAATGTTGATTGCTGTGTGCATTTGAAAAACATGCCCCCACAGAGATTAGTGGGAGCGATCTCATGGAAGGGCAAGTCAAGTGCAGGGTGTGTGTTTATTGAGGCCAGCTGATGATATCCTTCTTGTGCCTTACTGGTTTTCCCAACCTAAGAGCCATCCAGAAAGTAATGGAGAAGGTTTTATACAAACGCTGGATGCTGAAGTAAGGGTCTAGGACAAATACAAAGCTTTTTCTTTTCTGAAGTATGTTAATGTTCTATTGGTACATAGTGAAGCTGGAATTTAGAAGAAAAAGTGAACTTGGCCTTTAACCATTAGCCGCCCGGCCAATGGCCGTTTGGCGGCTTCAAAAGTGCTTCTGCACTCCGGGTGCACGCCATTTGGTGTGCTCCCGCACATGCGCAGTTTGCGCTAATGCAGAGCGGCGCAGCAGCGCGATCTGTCACCGGCCGTGTACCTCAGACACGGCCGATGACAGATCTGAGTACCGGCCCCTGTTGCAGGTACCATGTGACCTGCTGTGACCAATCACAGCAGGTCACATGACAGTTGTATACAATGGATGGCTTCATTCATGATGCCATCCATTGTATACTAGTGCCTAGCTGTGAATGGTCACAGCTAATCACATGCACATGTCATGTGATTAGCTGTGACCAAATCACAGCTAAGCACAAAAAAAAAAAAAAAGCTGAATGAATCCATTTCATTCAGGTAAATGCTTGCTTATAGCAAAGTAATTCTTTGCTATAAGCAAATTGTGTAAAGAAAAAAAAAAAAAAATACTGATCACTTCCCCAAAGTAGTACAATGTTACTATGGTAACATTGTACTACTTTGGTCATAGTAAAATATGAAAACAAATCTTAAAAAAAAATAAAAAAAAGTAATAAAGAATAAAAAAAAATATATATTTTTTTTTTTTTTCATACTGTCACCAGTCAGTGTCCCTGTCCACCGCCATGCCAGTTATATGATGACGCTGTACTGCACTGGTGACAGTATGTAAAAAAAAAATTGTGAAAATAATTTTTTTTTATTTTTTAATTTTCCGAAAAATTATGACAAAAAAAATACAACTTCAAAAAACTCGCCATGCCTCTTATGAAGTATGTCGGACTGTCTACTCTGCAAACGGGTCATTTGGGGGATATCTGTACTGTTCTGACATTCTTGGACCTCAAGAAATTAGATTGGCTGTCAGTACTTCAGGATTGATCAATAATCAGATCTATACCATAATTTGTGAACTCTATAACTTTCCTACAAACTAAATAATACATCCTAATTTGGGTTATTTTCACCAAAGACATGTAGCAGAATACATCTCGGCCTAAATTTATGAAGAACAATTATTTATTTGTAAACTTTTATAACAGAAACAAAGAAAAACTTGGGTTTTTTTCAACATTTTTGGTCTTTTTTTTGTTAATTTAGCAAAAAATAAAAACCCCAGTGGTGATTAAATACCACCAAGAGAAAGCTCTAGTTGTGTGAAGAAAATGATAAAATTTTAGTTTGGGTACAATGTTGTATGACCGCGCAATTGTCATTCAAAGTGTGAGAGCGCTGAAATGTGAAAAATGGCCTGGGCAGGAAGGCGTAAAATTGCACGGTATTGAAATGGTTAAACTGAGAAAATGTACAATTTTAGGAAAAAAATAAGATAATTTTGAAATTGATAGCAGCAACATGTCTGGGACAGGACAACAAAAAGCTGGCAAAGTGGTACTAACAATGAAGAGCTGGAAGAACATTTTTTAACTAGGTTATTTGGCAACATGTCAGCAAGATGATTGGGTATAAAAAGAGCATTTTAGAGAGTCGTAGTGGCTTAGAAGTAAAGATGGGCAGAGGTTCATCAGTCTGTAAAATGCTGCATTTTAAAAATTGAACAATTTCAGAATAATGACTTGAAATATATCATCATCATATACAGTACATAATATCATCATAGAAATGAAAGGAAAAGAAAAAATGAAAAAATCCATATTAAAAGGGAATAAGAAGAATCTGAATCTTCAATATAAACACTGGTCTACTCTTTAGTATGAACACAATTCCACATGCACCATCAGCAGAGGAAAGAAGACTCAAATTTGATTACCAGATACAGATGACTCTCAAAAACAGAAGCGTCAAATAGTGCTTTTGTAATTGCATACAGAATCACACTCCCGGTCTCCTCCCTCAGCAAAAGGTGTTCCTCCCTCCAGAGGATTAGCATCAGCGATCTCACCTTCCAGTCCAGGATTCATGCACACAGGTAAGTACAATTAAAAGAAATGAGCAGGGTGGTGAAAAAATATCCAATCATATGGAAACTCTGCACCACGGTTTTCCTGGGCAGGACCATACAGGCTCCTAACATACGTTTGGGGGGAACATATAAATAATATTAAGAAGGGATACAAGGACCTTAATGTCCCCAAGCATTAGTCAGCTGTTCATAATAGGGATCCCTCTGGCACCATTTTTTTGGGGTTGGACAAGTTTATTCCTATTAGAGGTGAAGTGCCTCTAAAAGAGAGTAGTTTCTAGAATGGAAAGTAAGTGGACTTTCCATCTAAAGACTCATTCCCCACACGGTCTTTTGTGAACTGGGATATTAATGCATTTATTAATAATGGTTGATTTCCCTATTTACTCTTTTTGGACAGTGCGGTGATAGTTTGGGATTTTTGGGAGGTTTTTGGATAACATCTGGAGCATAATTTTAAACCAATTTTTGATGTTTTACGTGTTGCTGTACTCTCTAAATTGTGATTAGGTATATTTGTATTTAAAGTTTAGATATACCTGGAGAATGGGTCTAGAAAAAAATCAGTTTTTTGAAGACCTCATTATTTGTCACATTATTTGTTTTATCTTTATTTTTATGAGAGCTCTGTTAGGATTTTTCTTTTTACAGAAGAATACTTCCTTATACCTTCTTCCTTTTCCTTTGATTGTTTTTTGGTATGGTTATATATTTTCATCTTTTTAAATATTTTATTTTTGTGCTAATGTATTAAAGATTACCCTTTTGTGGATTGTTATACCCCTTTTTAATCACTAGGGGGTCGATGGATGAGGTTGGAGTGCATTTCTGCTGTTGAGCTCAGGCCAGATCTAATATATTTTATTTTTGTGCTAACGTGTTAATGATTACCCTTTAAAGATGTCTGTATGACTAAAGAGAGGCATGGTTTATGTTGAGAGGTGATGGTTGCAAGTTGCTTGGTTCATTTGGAAATGAGGTGTGTGGATAAGCCTAATTTCCTGGGTATAGACGGATAATGTAAGGCATGATGGCTCAAAATGCTCATCTGTGATAAAACGCATAGCGATGAACCTGTTGATGATGGAGTTTCCATATGATCAGGTATTTTTACACATCACAGTTCATTTATTTTAATTGTAATTACCTGTATGCATTGGTCATTCAGTGGGAGGTGAGACCACCAATGCTATTTTTCTGGAGGAAGGACCACCTTTTGCTGAGGGTAATATCTCATTTAAATTGGTCTGTTGCAAAGTGGAAAACCGTTCTGTGGTCAGACAAGTCAAAATTTGACAATCTTTATGCCAACCATGGACGCTGTGTTCTTTGGATTAAAGAGGAGAGGGAACTATCTGGCTTATCAGCACTCAATTCAAATGTCTGCATCTCTGATGGTATAGGAGTTCATTACTGCACCCGAAATGGGCAGCTTGCACATCTAAAGGCACCTTCAATGCTAAAAGCTATACAGCAAAAATGACCACACAGTGATTGAAGGAGTAAAAGGTGAATATTCATGCATGGTCTAGTCAGAGCCCAGCCTTGAAACCATATTGAAAATCTGTGGAATGACATAAAGACTGCAGTCCACAAATGGTCACCATCAAATATCAAATGTAATTGAACTAGAGCAGTTCTGCAAAGAGTGGGAAAATGTTGCAAAGTCTAGATGTACAAAGTTAGTCGAGACATATCCCAACAGACTAAAGGCTCTAATTAACCAAAAAGTGGTTCAACAATATACTGACACAAGGAGGTGATCCTTTTACCCACTCGGTGATTCTGTTTTTGAATTAAGAAAAAAAAAAAATTCTGACTGGTTGGTGTTATTTCTTTCACTTGGTTATGTTTATTTTATTTTTTATAGGTACTTATATAGCACCCTCAATTTACACAGCGCTTTACATATATATATATATATATATATATATATATATATATATATATTGTACATTCACATCAGTCCCTCACCCTCAAGGGGCATACAATCTAAGTTCCCTAACTCACATTCATACATACATGCACTAGGGCCATTTTAGACAGCAGCCAATTAACCTACCAGCATGTCTTTGGAGTGTGGGAGGAAACCAGAGTACCCCAAGGAAACCCACACAGGCACAGGGAGAGCATGCAAGCTCCAGACAGGTGGTGCCATGGTTGGGATTCAAACCAATGACCCTAGTACTGCCTGGTGGAAGTGCTAACCATTTAGCCACTGTGCTGCTCTGTCCAGCTGGATAAAACAAAAAATGTCTGTCTTCAGTTCAGGCTCCAAAACAACAAAATGAGACTATTTTAACCACTAGCCTACAGGGCACTTATACCCCATTCCTGCCCAGACCAATTTCCAGCTTTCAGCACTGTCGCACTTTGTATGACAATTGCGCGGTCAAACAACACTGTACCCATATGAAATTTTTATAATTTTTTTGTGACAGATAGAGCTTTATTTTGGTGGTATTTAATCACCTCAGGGTTTTTATTTTTTATTAAACAAACCAAAAACCACTGAAAATTCTGAAAAAATTTTTTTCTTAGTTTTTGTTATAAAATTTTGTAAATAAGTGATTTTTCTCCTTCACTGATGTGCGCTAATGAGGCTGCACTGACGGGCACTAATAGGCTGACTGATGGACACTGATAGGTGGCACTGATGAGGAGGCACTGGTAGGTGGCACTGATGGGCATTGACAGGCATCACTGATGGGCACTGAAAGGCAGCACTGGTACATGGCACTGATAGGCGGCACTGACTGGCACTGTTAGGCGGCACTGACTGGCACTGTTAGGCGGCACTGACTGGCACTGTTAGGCGGCACTTATGCGCACTGATAGGCAGCACTGACTGGCACTGATAGGCGGCACTGATAGGTGGCACTGATTGGCAGCACTGATAGGTGGCACAGATTGGCATTGATAGTTGGCACTGACTGACACTGATGGGTGACACTGAAAGGCAGCTCAGATGGGCACTGATATGTGGCATTGATGTGCACTGATATGTGGCACTGATGGGCACTGGCACGAGGCACTGATGGACACTGACAGGTGGCACTGCTGGGGCTACACTGATCATCAGTGCCCTGATGATCAGTGTACATATCCCCTCCGCGGAAAGCTGATTACCGGCTCTCTCCTCTCGAGCTGTCAGCGTGACAGCTCGAGAGGAGAGAAATGCCGATAACCGCCATTTCAGTGTTTACATGTGATCAGCTGTGATTGGACACAGCTGATCACATGACCGAGCCGACATCTTCGGCTCTTTCCGTGATCGGTGATCCGCTGTGTCCGAGGGACACAGCGCACCACCGATTGCCGCGCTGCACGCTCCAGGAGCCGTGCATGCGCAGTTAGAATGGGACATCCTCCCAGAACGAGAGAACCACCTTGCGCCCATCATATTACTATACATATTACTATATGGTGGGTGGGGAGGTGGTTAAAGGACTGTATCCAGGTTTTAGAGCAGCATATGCACCCATCCAGATAACTTATTTTTCAGGGTCTTGCATATTTCAGCAGGACAATGCTAAACTATATAATGCATCTATGACAACACAATTGCTTCGAAGTACAAGAGTCAGGGTGCTTAACTAACATGTATGTAGTCCAGACATTTCACAAATTGAAAATACTTGGCACATCTTGAAAGGGAAAATATAAAAAAAGACCCAGGACTTTTGAACAGTAAAATCCTATATCAGACAAAAATTGGACAACATTTTTTTCCCAAAACTCCAGAGACCGATCTCCTCCGTTTTCAGACGTTTACAGTGTGCTGTTAGAAGAGGTGATGCTACCATGTGGTAACCATTGTCCTGTCCCAACTTTTTTGAAGATGCTACCATCAGTTTCAAAATTACCTTATTTTTTTCCTTAAAATGGTACATTTTCAGTTTTGTACTTTTCTTAAAACTACTAAAGCTTTCTTAAAAGGGTACATTTTGTCAGTTTATCCACTTCAATACCGGGCACTTTCACCCCCTTCCTGCCCAGGCCAATTTTCAGCTTTCATTGCTGTTGCACTTTATACAACAATTGCGCAGTCATGCAACCCTGCACCCATATTAAATTTGTATCTTTTTTTTTTTTTTTTTTTTTTTTTTTTTTTAGACAGAGCTTTCTTTTGATAATATTTAATCACCACTGGGATTTTTTTATTTTTTGCTAAATGAAAAAAGACCTACATTTTTGAAAAATAACCCTTTTCTTAATTTCTGTAAAAATAAGTTTGCAAATAAGAACATTTTCTTCTTCACTGATGGGCACTGATAAGGTAGCATTGATGATCACTAATTTGCTGCCCTGGTGGGCACTGATATGCTGCATTGATGACACTGATATGCTGCACTGGTGGACTTTTTTTGGCACCAATGGGACTGCACTGATAGAGCTGCACTGAAAATAAGGGTGCTGATGATCAGTGCCCTGATTATCAGTGTAAATGTCCCCTGTCATGGAAAGTCAAATAGGAAAGGAAATGCCAATAACCATTTTGTAACACAGCTGATCACATGGTAAAGAGCCAACATCATTGGCGTTTTACCTTGATCTGTGATGAGCTGTGTCTGAGTAACACCGCTCACCACAGGTCGCCATGCTGGGTCCCAGGCGCCACGCACGAGTGGCCTGACTAGGAGCATGTCACATGACATCCACCCAGAGGGAGGAAAGGCCCAGTCGGCCATCAGTCCTGCTATTGGCCAGGTGAGAACTAATTTAACATTTATTATATTTTCTATTGTGAATAAAATATGGGTTTATGAGTTTTGCAAATCATTGCATTCTGTTTTTATGCAGATTTTATACAGCGTACCATTTTGTTTTATAAATTGGGGTTGTATATATGGACAGCAGTATGGAAATAATACAAGCTTTATAAAAAGATTAATATTAGTACCTATATCCAATGTACAAAAACGGATATTATCAGCAAAAGGCCCAATAAAAATCCTGGTGGAATTGTGCAAATATACTCATTATATATAGTTATTAATAGAGATACCTCCAAATGAATGTTTCGGCAAAGTGCAGTTGCATGGGCCCCTGAGAATGATCAGACTGTAGTGTCTGAGACTTGAAGACAGAGATCTGCAATAATGAGGAGACCCTCCAGTCATTGTCCAACCAACCTGAAATGCAACTTTTAACAAACAGAAACTGTGGTGTGGCAACTGGATTAAACCCATCTCCTCTGTTCTTAGTCACTAGCAATGTCTAATCTGTCTTGCAATTAGACCTCTAACTACCAGAATTGCTGTCAGATTCCTAACCTGGCTGTAGCCTATACTACACTGCTCAAAAAAAATTAAAGGAACACTTATTAATGAGAGTATAGGATCAAGTCAAATAAACTCCTGGGATATTGATCTGGTCAGTTAAGTAGCAGAGGGGATTGTTAATCAGTTTCAGCTGCTTAGGTGTTAAAGAAGTTAACAGGTGCACTAGATGGGCAACAATGAGACAACCCCCAAAACAGGAATGGTTTTACAGGTGGAGACCACTGACATTTTTTCCCTACTCATCTTTTCCAACTGTTTTTCACTAGTCTTGCATTTGGCTAGGGTCAGTGTCACTACTGGTAGCATGAGGCAATACCTGGACCCTACAGAGGTTGCACAGGCAATCCAGTTCCTCCAGGATGGCACATCAATACATACCATTGCCAAAAGGTTTGCTGTGTCTCCCAGCACGGTCTCAAGAGCATGGAGGAGATTCCAGGAGAAAGGCAGTCACTCTAGGAGAGCTGGACAGGACCATAGAAGGTCCTTAACCCATCAGCAGGATCGGTTTTTGCTCCTTTGTGCAAGGAGGAACAGGATGAGCACTGCCAGAGCCCTACAAAATTACCTCCAGTAGGCCACTGGTGTGAATGTCTCTGACCAAACAATCCAAAATAGACTTCATGAGGGTGGCCTGAGGGCCCAACATTCTCTAGTGGGTCCTGTGCTTACTGCCTGGCACCATAGAGCTCGATTGGCATTTGCCATTGAACATCAGAATTAGTAGGTCCCCCACTGGTGCACTCTGCTTTTCACAGATGAGAGCAGGTTCACCCTGAGCACATGTGACAGATGTGAAAGGGCCTAGAGAAGCCATGGAGAATGTTATGCTGCATATAACATCGTTCAGCATGACTGTTTTGTTGGTGGGTCAGTGATGGTCTGGGGAGGCATATCCATGGAGGGACGCAGAGACCTATACAGGAAAGTCAATGGCACCCTGACTGCCATTAGTTATTGCAATTAAATCCTTAGATCCATTGTCAGACCCTACACTGGTGCAGTGGGTCCTGGTTTCCTCCTGCTGCACGCCAATGCCTGGCCTCATGTGGCAAGAGTATGAAGGCAGTTCTTGGAGGATGAAGGAATTGATACCACTGAATGGCCCCGCACTCACCTGACCTAAATTCAGTAGAACACCTCTGGGATATCATGTTTCAGTCCATCCGACGCCACCAGGTTGCACCTCAGACTGTCCATTGATGCCCTGGTCCAGATCTGGGAGGAAATACCCAAGAACACCATCCGGTGTCTCATTAGGAACATGCACCAATGTTGTCAGGCTTGCATACAAGCACGTGGGAGGTGCTGCAATGAAATTTCAGTAAAATGGACTAGCCTGCAGCATCATTTTTTAACTTTGATTTTCAGGGTGTCTTTGAATCCAGTGCTCTGTAGGTTGATCATTTTCATTTCCATCAAACGATGGGGCATCCTTACATTCCTAACACATTACCCAGTCCATATCAGTATAGATATCCAGCATGATATTTTTCCCCATTGAGATCTGATGTTTTTGAAGTGTTCCTTTAATTTTTCTGAGCAGTGTATTATGTTCCCTAAGAGATGCAGTGGCTGGGAATACTGTGTAAGCTGCATGCATACTTACAGTGGGATGGGAACTTCCCACTGCTATAACAAAATCAAGTCAGCTTGAGCAGCGCTCAGTCTTTCAAAGGGAGCTTTGTATTATATACCCTATACACAGGGAGCGTTGTATTTTATATTCTTACTTGGTTATTATATTGCCTGAAAAAGGTAGATAAAGTCCCAAAAGCTTTGATCCTTAATAATCTTGTAAAGCTCAGACATGAAATATAAACAAAGCATATCCTTCTATAGTATGTCCTTGTCTCAATGCTGAGCACAATGTGTAATTATATCTGCTTTGTTCCTCTGCTACCTGCATGAGTCACTTCTGACACGTTTTCCTGACACCAAGAGAATAAAGGTGACAGGTATGAGCACGGTTTGTGATTGACAGCCTCAGCTTTGTTCCTGTGTGCTGTGTGAAGGGGGTGTATCACATTCCTCCAAACAGCTCTCAGAGCTCTTCTCACTGATGTATTTTAGCTCTCCTTTGCTTTTCAAATCTGAGAGATCCTGTGTAAATTCTGCACTTTGAATGGCTGTAGAGAAAAGAAGACTGTAGGTAGACACGTAGAACTTGTATAGGAGGATTAGTTTCATCTGTGTATCACCTGAAGATATAATGCTGAAGATGTTTGTTAAAACTGGCCAATAAAAAGATATTATGAACCACTTGCCATCACCAACATTTGTATATACATGTTAAAATTTGCATGTTTTTGCTAGAAAATTAATTATATATTTTCTGAGGCCTTATAGATAAAATGTATGTTGAAATTTTTTATGTCATACAATATTTGCACAGCCATTTATCAAATGCAAATCTTCAGGAGAAGATACACTTAAATAACTTTTAGTGCACTCTAATACAATACCCAGTTTTTTGGTAACATATAGAAGATGATGTTGTGTTAAGTAAATAGATACCAAACATGTCAAGATTTAAAACTGCACACACCTATGATATAGAGACAATGTACTGTACCTAAAATTGTCCATAGACTACACTTTAAATGCCTATACATGTTATCAGTTTAGCGTTAAATGTGAGGTTATGTCTCTCACTCTGATGTTTCTGGCGATACCTCGCATGTGTGGTGCAATCACCTTCATGCTCGTTTGCATTTGCGTGTGAACATGGGAGGACAGGATGCTTTACATTTTTTTATTTAGGTTTATTTTTTTACACTTTTTACATTTTTTTTTTCATTTAACTTTATTCCTATCAC